ATAGGTTTTTCATATATGGCCTTTATTATGTTGAGGTATGCCCCCTTTATTCCCATTTTGCTGAGTGTTTTTATCATAAATAGGTAGTGTACCTTATCGAATACTTTTTCTGCATCTGTTGAGATGATCATGTGATTTTTGTCTTTCCTTTTGTTTATGTGATGTATTATGTTTATTGATTTTGCAAATATTGAACCATCCTTGCATCTCTGGGATGAACCCCGTTTTATCATGTTGGATGATCCTTTTAGTGTATTGCTGGATGAGGTTTGCCAATATTTTGCTGAGGATTTTAACATCTATGTTCATCAGCAATATTGGCCTATATGTTTCTTTCCTTGTTGTGTCTTTATCTGGTTTTGGGATTAGGATGATGCTGGCCTCATAAAAAGAGTTTGGGAGTCTTCCCTTACCTTGGATATTTTGGAATAGTCTGAAAATGACAAGAGTTTGCTCTCCCTTCAATGTTTTGTAAAATTCTTCTGTGAAACCATCCAGCCCAGGGCATCTGTGTGCTGGGAGTTTTTAATCACTGCTTGAATGTCAAAAGCTGTTATTAGTCTGTTCAGGCTTTCTGCTTCTTCTTCATTCAATATTGGATAGTTATACTTTTCTAGAAATTTGTCCATTTCCTCAAGGTTTTCAAATTTCTTGGCATATAATTGCTCACAGTAATTTCTTACAATGCTTTGTATTTCTGTGTATCAATTGTTATTTCTCCAATTTCATTTCTGATATTATTTATATGGGTTCTCTCCCTTTTTTTCTTGATAAGTCTGCTTAAAGGCTTATATATTTTATTTATCTTTTCAAAGAACCAGCTCCTGGATTGTCTGATCCTTTGAGTTGTTCTTTTAGTGTCTAAGTCATTCAAATCTGCTCTAATCTTGATTATTTCCTTCCTTCTACTTGCTCTGGGATTTATTTGTTGTTTCTCTTGTTCTTGAAGTTGTAGTGTTAGGTTATTTATTTGAAATGTTTCTATCTTTTTGAGGTAGACCTGTATTGTTATGAACTTCCTTCTCGGGACTGCCTTTGCTGTGTTCCATAGGTTTTGGACTGTTGTGTGTTCATTTTCATTTGTTTCCAGAAACTTTTTGATTTCTTCTCTTATCTCATTATTGACCCATTCATTGTTTAATAATGTGCTATTCAGTCTCCATGAGTTTGAAAGTTTTTGAGGTTTTTCCTTGAGGTTGGTTTCCAGTTTCAAGCCCTTGTGGTCCAGGTTATGCTTTCAATTTTCCAGAATTTGTTGAGGCTTGTTTTGTGTCCTACCATGTGGTCTATCTTTGAAAATGTTCCATGTGCATTTGAAAAGAATGTGTACTTTGCTTCTTTGGGATGAAAGGTTCTATATATATATCAGTTAAATCCATTTGATCTAATGCTTCACTCAGTTGCACTATGTCCTTGTTGATGTTTTGTTTGGAATATCTGTCCATTGTTGACAGTGGGATGTTAAAATCCCCTACTGTCAGTGTGTTGCTGTCTATATCTTTCTTGAAGTCATCTAAGATTTTCCTTATATATTGGGTAGTCCTATGGTAAGTGCATAGAAGTTTACAATGTTTATGTCTTCTTGATGGATTCTTCCTTGGAGTATTATAAAGTGTCTTTCTGGGTCTCTTTTTATGGCCTTTGTTTTGAAATCTATTTTTTCCGATATAAGTATCACTACCCCTGTTTTTTTTTTTTCCTGCCCATTTGCTTGAAATATTTGCTTCCATCACTTTACTTTCAGTCTGTGTATGTCCTTTGTTCTGAGATGGGTCTCTTGTAGGCAGCATAAGTGTGGGTCATGTTCTCTTATCCATTCAGCAATCCTGTGTCTTTTGATTGGGACATTTATTCCATTTACATTTAAAGTTATTATTGATAGGTACTTATTCATGCTTTCCCTTTGTGCCTCTGTTCTTCTCTTTTTCACTCTTTTTGTTCATCTTCTCAAACCAGTCCCTTTAGCATATCTTGTAGTGCTGGTTTGTTGGAGACATATTCTTTTAGCCTTCTTTTGTCTGGGAAACTCCTTATTTCCCCTTCCATTTTAATTGAGAGCCTTGCTGGGTAGAGCAGTCTTGGTTGCAGGCCTTTGTTTTTCATGACTTAGAATATTTCTTGCCACTCCCTTTTGGCTTGTAGTGTTTCTGTTGAGAAGTCAGCTGCTAGCTGTATCAGGGCTCCCTTGTATGTTAATACCTGTTTCTCCCTTGCTGCCTTTAGGATTCTCTGTTTGTCTTTGATATTTGCCATTTTAATGATGATATGTCTTGGAGTGGGCCTCCTTGAGTTCCTCTGGAATGGGGCCCTATGTGCTTCTTGGACTTGCATGACTTTTTCTCTTCTCCAATTAGTGAAGTTTTCCATCATGACTTTTTCAAACAGGTTCTCTATCCCTTCCTCATCCTCTTCTCCTTCTGGTATCCCTATTATATGGATATCATTACATTTCAGGTTGTTCTGCTTTTCCCTAAATCCCTCTTCCTTCTTTTTAAGTCTTTTTTCCATTTCTTCCTCTTTCTGGGAGTTTTGTTTTTTTTACCTTGTCCTCCAGTTCACTGATTCAATTCTTGGCTTCATCAAGCCTGATTTTGATTCCTTCTCCTGTGTCCTTTAATTCAGTAATTGTATTCTTCATTTCCTCTTGTCTCTTATTGATAGTTTCTATGTCCTTTTTCATACTGATATAGTTTGCACTAAGTTCCTCATAGTTTCCCTGTAGTTTTTCATAATTCTCTTTGAGCTCACTGAGCTCATTGAGCTTTTTTAGAACCATTGTTTTGAATTCCACATCTGATAGTTTACGTGCTTCTATTTCATTTAGTTCTGTTTCTGGGGATTTCTCCTTTCCCCTCATTTAGAGGGTGTTTCTTTTCATTTCCATTATTTGTGAGACAGTTCTTTTTTGCTTCTGCTTCTTAAATAGATCTGCCTTGATTTCCTGACTTTGTGGTGTGAACTTCTATGGTAGTAGATTGGTCTTTTTTTTTTCCCTGGGTCTGCCTCTAATGATGTCAGATGTTGACCTCGTCTGACCCTCGGCAGTCTGAGACTTTCAGGAATCTATTTTCTGTGTCTGTCTCCTGCAATTGTTAATCTCTTCACTCTGTTCTCAGCCATCAGGCTTAGGCACCACTGTGTGGGACAGTGCCTCCTGATGGTGGGGCTATTGTGCCCTTACAGGCTGCTGCCACTTAGGGTAGTGGTCTGCCTGAGCAAGATGGAAGCTGAGGAATTAGGGAGGAGTCAACACCAATATGCCCCTGGCTACTCCCTCAGTTTTCTCCCCAATGCTTCCATCTCCAGTCTCTCTCTCAAGCATCTCTAGACAGCTCTGCATCCCTTTTAGCCAGGGATCCACCTTCTGTGCCAGCCACTCTTCACTCAGCACCCAGGCCTGTGTGTAACTCCTGGCATGGGCAGAGTGTCCTGAAGACAGGGCTATTGTTTCCTTTCCTTCTGTTGCCTCTCCAGAGCATGGCCTGCCTGCGTAAGTTGGAGACTGTGGAATGGGGAACGAGCCAGCACCAGGAACCCGCAACTACTCCCTCAGTTCTCTCCTCAATGCCTCTGTCTCCAACCTGTCCTCAAGCATCTCTAGACAGCTCTGTGTCCCCGTACCCAGGGATCAACTATCTGTGCCAACCTCTCTGCGCTCAGCACCCAGGACTGCGCGCAACTCCTGGCCAGGGCAGAGCCTCTTGAGGGTGAGACTATTATTTCCTTTATGCCTGAGCAAGACAGAGGCTGCAGAGTGGGAGGTGAGTCATCACGGGGGCCCCGTTAGCCACTCTCTGTTCTCTCCCCAAAATTTTCCTCACCAATCTCTCCTCAGGTGGCTCCAGCCCACTCTGCCCTCACCTCTTCCCAGAGACCAAGTTAGGTGGCTGCCACTGCAAATTTTTGCGTTGGCCCTTTAAACGTCTCTTTGTGTCTCCAGCCACCTGTCTCTGGCAGAGAGCACCACTATGCTTTTCGCAGCTGTCTTTTGTCTGTGTACTTTTTTGGGGTTCTGGTACTGTCGTCTAGAGGTCCCCCCTCATGATTCAGACCCTGTTCCTCTTAGGGAGATCTAACTGGCTGTTTCAATATCCCTCTGGTGCTGGCACCCTTGGGTGCCCAGCCCACCCTCTCGAGCCTCAACTGCACTTCTCACCCGTTCGGTTGTGCGAAAGCTGATTCCACTGTCTAAGGCTCCAAGGCTCCTCTCTCACTATTGTTCCATTGTTTTCCAAGTGATTTCTCCACAATTTAGTCACAATTCCAGTTTGGCCCTGGGAGGAGGTCAGTGTGACTTCCACTCACTCCTCTACCATATTGTCCCAAAAGAAAAATATGTTATTGCTATTCAGTTACAGTTGTCCCCATATTTCCCCCTTTACTCTCCTCTCTCCTACCCACCCCCCACCACCCATGTTCAATCCTCCCCTTACCAGTCTTTGTCCATGGGTCCTTTATACATGTTCCTTGACTTGACTCTTCCCCTTCTTTCTCCCGTTATCCTTCTTCCACCTTCTCTCTGGTTACTATCAGTTTGTTCTTTATTTCCATATCTCTGGTTCTGTTTAACTTGCTTGTTTGTTTTGTTGATTAAGTTCCACCTATTGTGAGATCATATGGTATTTGTCTTCCACCAACTGGCTTATTTCACTTAGCATAATGCTCTCCAGCTCCATACATGCTGTTGCAAAGGGTAGTAGTTCTTTCTTTCTTTCTTTCTTTCTGCTGTGTAGTATTCCATTGTGTAAATATGCCATAGTTTTTTGATCCACTCATTTACTGATGGGCACTTAAGCTGTCTCCAGCACTTGGCTATTGTAACTTGTGCTGCTATGAACATTGGGGTGTATAGGTTATTTTGAATTTGTGTTTCATGATCCTCAGGGTATAATTCCAGCAGTGAAATTGCCAGGTCTAAAGGCAGTTCCAGATTCGGAGGTGGTCACCGAGCAGATTCAACTTCTCTCCCTCTTGCACCTCTCTCCACTTCCTCAGCAACCATGTCTGCTAAAACTGATATAGCCAAGATTGAGAAATTCAATAAGTTGAAATTGAAGAAGACAGAAGCACAAGAGAAAAGTCCACTGCCTTCCAAAGAAACGATTGAACAGGAGAAGCAAGCAGGCAAATAGTAATGAGGCCTGCACTGTACATTCCACAAGCATTGCCTTCTTTTTTTACTTCTTTTAGCTGTTTAACTTTGTAAGATCCAAAGAGGTTGGATCAGTTTAAATGAGTGTGCTGCCCCTTTTCACATCAGAACTACTGACAATGAAGGCCACTCCTGCCTTTCCCACCTGCCTCTCTGGCTGGCAGGAAGGAAAACAACTTGCATGTTGGTGAAGGAAGTACCTGGGTGGGATGACAGTGAAATCTAGAGTAAAAACCAAGCTGGTCCAGGGTGTACTGCAGGCTGTAAAATGCAATTTAATCAGAGTGCCATTTTTTTTTTGTTAAAATGATTTTAATTATTGGAATGCACATTTTTAATATGCAAATAATGTTTTCTGAACATTATTAAATTAATCTACAATTTAATAACAGAAATATAATGGGGAAATCTCTAAACATTGGGAAATTTAAAAACATGCTTCTCTGCAACATGTCAGTCAAAGTGGAAGTTGCAGAGGGAATTAGAAAATATTTTAAACCAAATGAAATGAAAATACAACATATAAAAACTTGTGGGATGCACCTAAAGCAGTGATTTAATGGAAATTTATAAAATTAAACACATATTAAAAACAAAGACAGGTCTCAGCTCAATAATTGAAGTTTCTACCTCAATAAATTAGGGAAAAAAGAGCAAAATAAACTCAGAGCAAACAGCATTTAAATAACTAAAAATAAGAAAATAAATAAAACTACAAACAGAAACGCAATGAAGAAAAAACAGAGAATGCAACCAAAACAAATTCTTTGGAGAATTATTTAAAATATAAGCCTTTAGCCATAGTGATCATAAAATAAAAAGAGATGAGATTCAGAGATCCAAAATACAGAGAAGTGAGGGGAAGTTACACTACCCTTCTCCCAGGACCAATCTGGAAGTACAACCAAGTTGTGGCAAAATGATCTGGAATAAGCAATTGAACAATAGCAAGAGAGAAGCCTTATAACCACAAACAGAAGAAACAGCTTCCAAACAACATGACTGGAAGGGAATGCAGTGGGGTTGCAAGAAGATGGGCTGGGCACTCACTTGCAGCAGATTAAGGGCCAGAGGGATATCTAAGTGGCTGGGGGGATCCTCCCGGGAAGGATGGGGTCTAAACCCCAAGCTGGGCTTCCCAAACTACAGCACCATAGCCCAAAAAGTAGACATATAACATCCAGATGCAAAAAGTGGCAGGGTTTCTCTCTGCCAGAGATGGATGTCTGGAGACACAAAGGGCTATTTGAAGGGCCAATGCATAAATTTTCATATGTAGCCACTTACCTTGGGCTCCAGCAAAGTGTGGGGAGTGGCAGACAGAGTACACTAGAGATGCCTGAGGAGAGACTGAGGATAGTGGCTTTCGGGAGAGAACTGAAAGACCAGCTGCCAGGATCCCAGTGCTGGATCATCCCCCATACTGGAGAAGCCATCTCAAGCAGAGCACTCCCCTCCAAGAGTCATCAGCCTGAGGAGAAGCAATAACCCCACCCCCAGCAGTGATTGTGCCCACCCTGTGTTGTTTAAACCTAACTGCTGATTGCAGAGTGACTGGATTAACTGAAACAGTCAGCCACAGATGGTAGATCTATGGTAGTCTCAAACAGGCTGCCTAACGCCAGACTGGGACACCACTTGAAATAACCATAGGGGGATCCAGAAAGAAAAAATAGTGATAAATTCTAGATGCTACCAAAACAAAATCAACCCTGGTATTCTCCATGATTTGTGATATTTTCTTCACTGCATAATTTTTTAACATTCACTTTTTTTTAATTTTTTTCTAATTGTTGTTAAAGCACATCTTTCTCCATTTCCCCACCACCACCCTCCCCTGCACCACCTACCCCCACCTCTTACCCTCAAGCCAACCCCCCTTTGGTTTTGTCCATGAGTCCTTTATACATGTTCCTCGATGACCCTTCCTCTTTCCCCTGTCATCCCCCTCCCCCCTCGCCTCTGGTTACTGTCAGTTTTTCAGTGTCTCTGGTTATATTTTGCTCACTTGCTTGTTTTGTGGATTAGGTTCCACTAATAGGTGAAATCATATAGTATTTGTCTTTCACTGCCTGGCTTATTTCCTTTAGCATAATGTTCTCCAGGTCCATCCATGCTGTCGTGAAGGGTAGGAGCTCCTTCCTTCTTTCTGCTGTGTAGTATTCCATCGTGTAAATGTACCATAATTTTTTAATCCATTCATTTACAAGATAAATAAATGGCTTAAATATAAGTTGTGACACCATAAAAGTGATAGAAGAGAACATAAACAGGAAAATCTCAGAAAATATTCATTTCTGGTCCCTCAAATTTGTGTATATTAAGTCTTTAGAATATATATTTTATTTCATTCTTATATTTTGTTGCTCCCCTCTTTTACCCCATTTTACCTTCTTTCCTCTTGTAATATTCATTTTAAATTTTGCTTTCTCTCCACAACTTGTTTCCATTCTGCACTCTTACTATTTCTCCCTCATCCAGCTTCTCAAAACCAATTTTCTTGTCAAAGGTCATCTCACAATATTTTTCCTCCTCTTAAGGTACCTGCATTATCTCTCTACCTTTAGCAATATTTGCTTGTTGATTATGGATAGGGTTATTGTTGCAATTTTTCAAATTTATCTCTAGATCTTCCCTACTTTTATATTTCACATCTCTAATTTTACCATTCCCCACTCCTACTCCATCCTGTCTTCATCCAGCCTGTTCTTTTTTTATCTTAAATTTTAATTTCCCCCTCTTTTATCCTGGTTTTCATTCTTCACTCTGTATTCCCTCTCGCTCAATCATCTCAAAATCCCTTCCCTTTCCTCTAAACATCTCTTAAGCTTTTCTACTTTCTTTTTTCCCTCTTATTCCCATCCCACCTACATTACTCTTGCCTCATTTGTTCTTAATAGTGCTGTGGTCATTATTTTTCTCCAATTTGGTTCCTTTTTTAAAAATTATTATTTATTTATTTTCCTTTTTCTTTCTCTCTCTCACTTTATTATTATTTTAATTTCCATTTAAACCTAATGCTATTTGCTTCTCTTCTCTTTCTCCATTCAACCTTCATCATTCCCTTTTTTTATTTAAAATGTGAATTTTACTTTCTCTCTTTACATTGCTCTGATTCCATACTCTTATTTGTGCTTCTCCCTCTACCCTCAAAATCATTTTTCTTTCAGTTAGTATTCTCATCATTGCTTCTCCTTTCTTATAATAGTCTTAAACTCTTTGCACCCTGGTGAATACTGGTTCACTTGCTCAATTGTGGGATTAAAGGTGGGACTTACTTTTACAGTGTCGGTTTGTTTCCTGGGCTGTATGGTTTGGTTCTGGCAGTACCTGCACAACAGCATACAAGACTTGGTAGGTGGGGTGACCCTCAGTCAACCAGATAGAGAAATTGACACACCAAAGGATGACCCAACAACAATCAAAATCCAGTTACATCCAGAGAGCCCACATAAACAGCATAAATGGCATCCCAACAGCATCACGTTCAGGAGATCAAGGAGATTTGCACCACTGAATTCGACAGGTCTCCTATCATAGAAGTTCATACCAGAAAGACAGAGAGTCAAAGCAGATCAATTTAAGAAGAAGAAACAAACAAGAAGAGTCTCCCTTAAAATTGAAAGACAAAGAAACAACCCCTGATAAAAAAGAAAGTAGGAATCCAAGGAAAGAGTGCTAAATGAAATAGAGGCAAATAAACTATCAGATATTGTGTTCAAAACAATGGTTATAAGGAAGTTTAATGAGCTCAGTGAGAATTACACTACATCAGCATGAAAAAGGAGTTAGAAACTATTAATAAGAGCTGGGAGGAAATGAAAAATACAACTTCTGAATTGAAGAACACAATAGAAAGATTTAAAAAACAGTCTAGATGAAGCAGAGGATCAAATCAGCGAGCTGGAAGAAAAGGTAGAAAAAAATTCCCAGACAGAACAATAAAATGAAAAAAAACTCAAAAAGAATGAAGAGGTGTTCAGGGAAATGCAGAACAAAATGAAACACAATAATATCTATATAATAGGGATACTGGAAGGAGAAGAATAGGAGCAATGAATAAAAAATCTGTTTGAAAAAGTAAAGAAAAAATGTCCCTAACGATGAGAGCAAAAGGCATATAGGTCGAAGAAAAAAAAGAGTCCCAATCAAGATGAAGCCAAACAGGCCAATGCCAAGACACATCATAATCAAAATAGCAAAATTCAAAGACAAATAGAGGATCTTAATGGCAGCAAGGGAGAAACATGTAGTAGCTGTTTCTAGCAGCTGACTTCTCAATAGAAACACTACAAACCAGAAGGGAGTGGCAAGAAATATTCCACGTCATGAAAAGCAAATGCCTGCAGCCAAGACTGTTCTACCCAGCAAGGCTCTCAAATAAAATACAAGGTAAAATAAGGAGTTTCCCAGACAAAAAGAGGTTAAAAGAATACACCTCCACCAAACCAGCACTGCAAGATATACTAAAGGGACTGCTTTAAGAAGATGAAGGAAAAAGAGAGAGAGAGAGAAACACAGGTACTAAGGGGAAAAGTGGCAATGAGTAAGTACCTGTCAGTAATAACCTTAAATGTAAATGGGTAAACTGCTCCAATCAGAATATATAGGGTAGCTGAATGGACAAGAAAACAGGACTTGCCTATATGCTGTCTACAAGAGACCCACCTCAGAAGAAAGTAACTACATAGATTAAAAGTGAAGGGTTGGAAAAAATATTTCAAGAAAATGGACAGGGAATAAAAGCAGGGTTAGCAGTACTTACATTAGACAAAATAGACTTCAAAGCAAAATCTATAAAAAGAGACAGATAAGGACACATCATAATATACAAGGGAAGAAGCCATCAAGAATACATAAACATTGCAAACATATATGCACCCAAAATAGGAGCCTCCAAATATATAAGGAAAATCTTGGAGGACATCAAGAAAGATATAGACAGCAACACACTGATATTAGGAGATTTTAACACCCCAT